TCTCAGCTCGGACAACTTCCAGGAGGCAGCAGCTCTGCCAAGAGTCCATCAGGAACCATGCGCCAGGATTCTGAGTGTCCCTCTGCCTGCAGGCCACTGTGGGTGAGCCTGGGCTCTCAGCAAGTGGGGGCCATGGCAGACTGCCCAGGAAACCTCCCTGCATGTCCCCTTTGCTTATCCAGGACACCAGGCCTGGATACAGCTGTGCTGCAGGCGGAGCCCAGGGCCAGCTGAGGGGCTGACCCTGGCCCATGCCCTTCACCCAGGCACGCTGTGGTCAGCTCGGGGCCCAGGCGGAGGAGTTGGGCAGATGGCGAGCCTGGCCCGTGCCCTTCCCCCAGCCCTTGTCTCCTCTTTGTCCCCAGAGGAGCCCATTTACTGCTACACCCCACACAACTTCACCCGCGACCAGGCGCTGTACGCCCGCGGCTACTGCTGGACGGAGCTGCGGGACGCCCTGCCCGGCGTGGACGCCAGCCTGTGGCCCTCGCTGTTTGAGCACAAGTTCTTGCCCTACGCGCTCCTGGCCTTTGCTGCCGTCATGTACGTGCCGGCGCTGGGCTGGGAGTTTTTAGCCTCCACGCGACTCACCTCGGAGCTCAACTTCCTGCTGCAGGAGATCGACAACTGCTACCACCGGGCAGCCGAGGGCCGGGCTCCCAAAATCGAGAAGCAGATCCAGTCCAAGGGGCCGGGCATCACCGAGCGCGAGAAGCGCGAGATTATCGAGAATGCGGAGAAGGAGAAGAGCCCGGAGCAGAACCTGTTCGAGAAGTACCTGGAGCGCCGCGGCCGCAGCAACTTCCTGGCCAAGCTGTACCTGGCGCGGCACGTGCTGATCCTGCTGCTGAGCGCGCTGCCCATCTCCTACCTGTGCACCTACTACGCCACGCAGAAGCAGAACGCCTTCACCTGCGCGCTGGGCGCCGCGCCCGCCGTGCACGTGAGCTGCAAACTGCCCTCGGTGCAGCTGCAGCGCATCATCGCGGGCGTGGACATCGTGCTGCTGTGCTTCATGAACCTGGTCATCCTCGTCAACCTGGTGCACCTCTTCATCTTCCGCAAGAGCAACTTCATCTTCGACAAGCTGCACAAAGTGGGCATCAAGACGCGTCGCCAGTGGCGCCGCTCACAGTTCTGCGACATCAACATCCTGGCCATGTTCTGCGACGAGAACCGCGACCACATCAAGTCGCTCAACCGCCTGGACTTCATCACCAACGAGAGCGACCTCATGTACGACCACGTGGTGCGCCAGCTGCTGGCCGCGCTGGCCCAGTCCAACCACGACGCCACGCCCACCGTGCGCGACGCGGCCGTGCAGACCACCGACCCCAGCGCCGACCCCGCCGACGCCGACGGCTCGGCCGAGCCGCCCGTGGTCAAGCGGCCGCGCCGCAAGATGAAGTGGATCCCGACCGGGAACCCGCTGCCGCAGCCCTTCCGGGAGCCGCCGGCCGTGGCGCGCGTGGACGGTACCAAGGCCGAGAAGCCCAAGCCGGTGCGCAGGAAGACCACGGACACGCTCATCGCCCCGCTCTTGGACGCCGGCGCCCGGGCCACTCACCACTACAAGGGCGGCGGTGGGGCCGGGGGTGAGGCGCCGCCTGCGCCCGACAAGAAGCACGCGCGCCACTTCTCCCTGGACGTGCACCCCTACATCCTGGGCCCCAAGAAACCCAAGGCCGAGCCTCCGCCCGCCGCTCTGCCCGCCTCCCGCAGCCAGGAAGGCGGCTTCCTGTCGCAGGCCGAGGAGCGGGGGCTGGGCCTGGCCACCGCGCCCACCAAAGGTGGGGAGCCTGGGGTGCGCCCGGGGCGGGGCGGCGGTGGTGGTGCTGGGACAGGTGGGCAGGGCGGTTGACGTGGGTGGAACCCTGAGAGCCGGAAAGAGGAAGATTGTGACCCCGTGGGCAGGGTGACCGGCTGGAGGGTCTTGGCTGACCTGTGCTCTCCACCTACAGATGCCCCACTCCCCGAGCAGGAGCTGCCGTTCCCTGCGGAGCCCCCCGGGGACCCCTTCCACGTCTGCTCGCCCCCCACCGCCCCCGCTGCGGCCTCTCTGTCACCCGCCGGCCTGAGCAAGACCGACACCCTCACCATGCTGAGCCGCAACGCCACCCACCCGCTGCTGCACATCAGCACGCTGTACGAGGCCCGGGAGGAGGAGGAAGGGGCACCCCGCGCACCCCCAGACATGAGCGACCTCATCACCCTCCCGCCGCCACAGCAGCTGCTCATCGCCACCTTTGACGAGCCCAGGACAGTGGTGAGCACGGTGGAGTTCTGAGGGCCCTGCCGGCCGCGACCCGTGCCAGGGGCTCTTGGCTGTCGGTGCTGAAGTGGGACCAAGAGTTTATTTTTGTAGCTGACTTTGTCCTGGACCTGGATGGTGGCAGGAGGCTGCCGGGCCCCAGCTCCGCCGCCCTGACCTAGGATCTGTCCCAGGGTCCCCCTCAGCTCCTCCCTGCAGGAATCGGATACCTGGTGGCAGAGCCAAGCGCCACCCTGGGACCATTCAATGTGCACTTTCTCCCTGTAGCCTGACACACTTTATTTTACTATGTTACTGTAACTAATGAGCATATTTATCATCAGGAGACCTGGGTGGGTGTGACGCGAAGCAGGGGGGCCCTGTGAACAGGTAGAAGACAGGCAGGTGGGTACAGGTATGTGTGCGTGAATGCAAGTGTGAGCAGGCGTGAGCAGGTGTGTGAGCCAGCCTGAGCATGGTAGTGAGTGGGCAATGCGTATTTGCAGCTGTGGACAGAAGGCATAGGGGGCCGGAGTGCACATGAGGAAGTCCAATGCAATAACCATGTCCCCGGGGACCCCAGCCAGCCCACCTCCCTGTGGGAGCCCTGCTGGCAGCTGGCCCTGCCCCGATTACCTCAGCCACATGGCCATGTGACGCAGTATTAGGTAGCACTGAGTGTATCAATAAATCCTATTCTGATAACTGCGCGCCCGTCCCCTCCTGTCCTCTCATCCCCAGGACCACAAGGTGACCGCCAGGGTCCCTGTGCCACAGGCAGCTGTCATTCCTCATGTCGCCACAGGGCGGCGCAACAGGTGCTGTCCCTCCAGGGGCGGGTCAGCTCAGGGCACAGGCTCCGTGGAGACATCGCTCAGACTCTTGGGACTAGGAACTGTCGGGGTTCGCTGCCTGGAAGTGGGGGGCAAGGGGATCTAGAGGCTCCCCATGCGGCCTGGAGGGTTCACAGGCCCAGGGCTTGTAGCACAGGGTGTTTGCTGGCGTGCAGAGCACAGAGGTCCCTGCACAGACCCCCCCCCCCGGGCAATCTTGGTTGCCAGGAGTGGGAGTGAGGTGTCATCTCTGCTGCAGCTGAGGCCAGGGGCTAAGGGTTGGCAGAGGAGTGTCCCTCACAGGTGCCTGGAAGAGGGACCCCCGGGAGGCAGCAGAGTCCTCACATGATGGGAGTGGGGAGAGGCAACATTTTCTGGGTCTCCCCTGGAAGGAAGGGGTAAGGCAGGGTCAGCAGTTCAGGAATGGCCACCTGGATAAGCCTTGGTGGGGCTGGGCCACCTTGGGGTGACAAGGGCCGGTAGGTGGGGGCCCAGGGTGTGAGAGTCACCGCAGGAGGTGGGCCTGAGTCCTGGTCAGGGCTTGGCCAGGACAGCAAGGCCCCTGCGGTGGTGTCAGAGCGAAAACTGCAGGACACAGGTCCCAGCCTGCCCTCCTGCCGGCACTCAGCACTGCCTCAGGCACCCTGGGCAGCCAGGCCATCACTGGACACAGATGGGCCAGGCCCAGTGGCCAAGGGCAGCACAGGAGCCCAAGGGACGCCTCAGGGTGGTGTTAGCCAGGGCCAGGACCACCACGTGTAGCGAGCAGCTTTCTTCTGCTGGCCCTCACCCTGCGCCCACGTCTGTGCTTGCTGCCAGGCCCCCGTGGAGGGCAGCTGACTCACCTGCACCCGTGCACGGGTAGGGCTGAGGCCCAGGGTCCAGGGCGCCCTGTCACCGTCCTTGATGGGACAGGACTGCTGCGGGCAGCATCTCGGAAGGCTGTGGGAGAGGAGGAGGTGCCCAGTAACCTGCAGGTGCGGGGAGCTACCCTATTACCTGGCCCGTGGTCCTTGGCCCAGCGGGACAGCAGCCTGGACAGAAGGTGCTTTGGCAAGAAGTTGGCCTGGGCCACCCTGGGACTCGCCCCTACTGGCCATGGCGTGGCTTCTCCTCTCGGAACCTCCGTGACCCCATGGACCTGGCCACCTTCCACTTGGGCCTGCTTGGGGCAATTTTTTTTAGATTTATTTTAATTTTATTGGAAAGTCAGATATACAGAGAGGAGTAGAGACAGAGAGGAAGATCTTCTGTCGGATGATTCACCCTCCAAGTGGCAGCAGCGACCAAGCTGCACTGATCCAAAGGTAGGAGCCAGGAGCTTCTTCCGGGTCTGCCATGCAGGTGTAGGGTCCCAGACCACAAGCAGAAAGCTGGATGGGAAGCAGGGGCCGCTGGGACACCAACTGGTGCCCAAATGGGATCCTGGCATGTGCAAGGCACGGACATTTTAGCCACTAGGCTAACTCGCTGGGCCCTATTTGGGGGAAATTCTTGCAGCCCAGCCAAAGATGCCCGGTGCAGCCACCCTCAGCCAGGCCTGGGCAGGACACAGTGGCCATAGGGGCCCTCAGGCTGGGCAGAGGTGAATGGCCAGTCCTCGGGGCTTCAGGGCCTGACATCGTGGGTGACTGCAGCCTAACGGCTACTCTGAAGCACGGAGCACAGTTGGCAGGGACCTTCCCCCTGCACGCCCTCCAGGGACCCCAGCAAGGCGTCCCCTTCCTCCCCCAAGAACCCATTGGGTTGAGGGTATCACTGGATGCCGCACCACCGGCCCCACAGTCCCGGAGCGCGCGGTCCCAGGGCCGGGCGGGGCTCGAACCCGTGCCGCCTGCCGTGCCGCCGCCGCGCTCTAGGACCCGGGGACGCCGGCGGGCGCACTTCCCGACATGCCGCGCGGCCTCGCCCCGGCCCGTCCGGCCCGTCCGGCGCCCCGGTCCGCGGGGCCGCTTGAGGCCGGGTGAGTGCGGGGCGCCCGGTGAGCGCGCGGGGCCGGGGGTGCGGGGTGCCCGGTGAGTGCGCGGGGCCGGGGGCTCCGGGCCGGGGGTGCGGGGTGCCCGGTGAGCGCGCGGGGCCGGGGGCTCCGGGCTGGGGGTGCGGGGCGCCCGGTGAGCGCGCGGGGCCGGGGGTGCGGGCCGCTGCGGCCCCCGGCGTGGGAGCGTCCAGGGGTCCCGGCCCGGGCGCGTGTCAGCAGGGGGGCCCTGTGGCACCTTGGGCGAGGGGGCCGCGCTGCTGCAGGAGGGGTGCCCGGGTGTGCCCCTAGCTGGTCCGCGCTGGGCCGGGGTCGGGCAGGCGCCAGTCGGGGTGTGGGTGGGCTCAGGAGTGGCTGCCATCCGGGGCTCCACACCCCAGCCTCATTTCAAACTTGGGCGCGCTGGCCAACTTCCTGGGAAAGCGGGTCCACAGGCTCCCTTTGCTACCAAAACTTTGTGCAGCCTTTTTGCCGAGCTGGGGGGGCGCAGGAGGAGAGCCTGCAGGGCCCAGCTGGTAACAGGTGTGGGGAGGGGCTAGCGCCCATCCCAGCCCCCCGCAGCACACAGCCTGGGGGGCAGCCAGCAGCTGGCACCCACTCCTGCATGGTCCGATGCCAGCTGTCCACACCGAGGGACGCACTCTCCTGAGGGTGCAGCTGTGGAAAAGCCAGTATTTCCATTCTAACCCGGGGGAGGGGCAGGATGTTCCCAGCCCCCAGCAGGAGGCCCTTTCTGCCTAGCTGGGGACAGTTGTCCCCACTGCCAGCTGCTGGGGGTCAGGCACTGGCCAGACCCTCCCCGAGGCCGTGGGGCTCAGGCAAGGGGTCCCAGCCAGGCACAACTTGTGCTGTCTGGCCATAGCCCCCCATGGGGCTGCTGTCTGCGTGGCTCCTGGGGCTGTGCCAGCAGCCGAGCAGGAGCACGTGGCTCCAGCCAGGGTCTAGTTGATGGGAAGGCCTGGTAGGAGGTGGGTCCCCGCCACAGTTGGGGGTGACAGTAAGGGCATGGACGTGGAAAGTCAGGGAGCCCCCCGGAGCTACCACCTTGGTGGGGCCAGACTGTCGTGGGGCTCCGTGTTTGCTCCTGAGCTGTCTCCTGACTTCCTGACCCTTGTGTCTATCCATCCTGAGCCCCTGCAGGCTGCCCACACCTGGCACCGGGCACCAGGGCCCCACGGGGACGGTGCGTCCCAGGCAGGCCGCAGTGGACGGCAGGGAAGCGGCAGGGCACACGTGGCCTCCTCCCATTCGCTCCACCTGCAGGCTTTGCTGTTGCTTCCGTGTTGCCTCAGCTCCTGAATGGGAACTCTTTGCTTCCGGGGCGTCTCCTGCCCGCCTGCTGGGCGTGTTCCGGGGCTGCCAAGCCCTGTGGCTGGGCTGACTGCACCACTAGGGGGCGGGCCCCGGCTGGCTGGCCCGGCAGGTGTGAGCCTACACTGGGTCTGGCCCCCAAGGACCGGCCGCCACAGGTGCTGGCCTTGGTCACAGGAGGCCAGGGAGGACGTGAGCTGCAGGGCAGCATGGTCAGCTGAGGCTTGGCTGCCCTGGGCCAGTCCCTGGGACCGCCCATGCTCATGTGGGTCAGTTCTGGGCATGCCTGTGTGTCTCAGATGCCACGCCGGGGCACTGACTCACCCCGAGGTGCCCCAGCCACGGGTCCTGCGCCCCTCCGAGTCGCTGAGAGCTCCTTCCTGGGGGCAGGTGAGGAGCAAGTGTGGAGGTCACGTGGTCGTGGGTTGGAGGAGCCGGCGAGTGCCATGTGACCACCATGTATACAGACGGTATCACCTTCCTGCTTTTTCCACACGCGTCAAGGGCAGGCTGCAGCACACGTCTGCAGGACCAGAGCCTCGCCCCCTCCGACCCCTTCCCTCACCCAGGGGCGACTCAGCGGGGGCAGCTGAGCTGTGCCCTGCCAGCCTTGGCGATTCTGACTCCCGTCTGGTCAGGAGGCTCAGACCACCCCTGGTCCTCAGAAAGGCCTCGCTCTAGTGCTGAGTGCTTCCAGAAAGAGCCACGGGGAGGGAAAAGGCGTGCGGCCAGTGCTGGAGAAGGCCACGGGCTCGGCCCGGCTCATGCTCGCCCTGCACGGGGCTGCGGCGGCTGGAAGGGGTCTCCTTGGAGCAGCTTCTGCCCTGTGGCCCGTCCAGACCTGTTGCACCTTGGTTCCCAGGGTGCAGGTTGCCCCTGCTCTGACCCCACACACTCATCTCATGGAGGGCATGCGGGGGCCGGGCTGTCCAGCCCCCTGTGTCCAGGAGCACACTGTGCCTCCACAGCCTGTGCCGTGGGGTGGCCCAGCGGGTCAGGAGGTGGGCGCTGTCTCCTCAGGCAACCTTACCGGAACAAGACACCGTCCAGCCATGCAAGGAGATGAGGAGCGGCCTCCCCAGGAGGTGAGGACGGCTGGGAGCACCCCTCGGGCGCTCGGGGCCTCAAGGCCCTGCTGCAACTTTCTCTCCACCCTCAGGCTGACATGGAACCTGTCGTGACGTCAGGGCCTCCGGAGTCGGTGCCCAGGGTGCTCGCCGGAGACCCCCAGAGTCTGTGTACGTCCCCCCAGCCTGCATACGTGGGTGGAGATGGGACGGGCCCTGTGAGGCCAGGGCCCTAGCCTAGCGGGGCTGGGCGAGGCAAGCAGAAGCCACCCCTACTACAGCCTCGGGCCCCTCAGCCACCTGAAGGTGGGTACTGGCTGTCTGCTTGGGCGCTACCCTAAGTCAGAGCCTGGCTAGAGTGAAACTGAGGGGCACCTCCCAGGCAGCCGGTCCAGCAGGCCCGTCTTACTTGGCAGCATGTGCCCACCATGCCAGCCACTCTATAGCCCAAGTTGTACCCACTGCAAGTTGCCCAGGCAGGGCTACCCCTCCCAGCGGCCTTTGCCGTCCTCACAGCTGACATGGAAGCCTTCAACCTGCTCCTGGAGATGAAACTGAAGAGGCGGCGTCAGCGACCCAACCTGCCACGCACCGTGACCCAGCTGGTGGCTGAGGACGGGAGCCTGGTGTACGTGGTGGGCACCGCCCACTTCAGTGACGACAGCAAGAGGGATGTGGTGAAGGTGAGCGGGTGGGCTGTCACAGAGCCCCCGGGGGGGTCGGCTGGTCCTGGTGGCATGCTGACGCGCGGCGCGCCATGGCCCCTGCAGACCATCCGGGAGGTGCAGCCGGACGTGGTGGTCGTGGAGCTGTGCCAGTACCGAGTGTCCATGCTCAAGATGGACGAGCGGACGCTGCTGCGCGAGGCCAAGGAGGTCAGCCTGCAGAAGCTGCAGCAGGCTGTGCGGCAGGTGTGTACAGGGCGGGGGCGGGCAGTGTCCGGGAACCACGGGGGTTGGACTCGGGGCCCTGAAAGGGCTGGCGTCCGTCAGGGCACCCCGTGCAGAAGGTGCTGTGTGAGCTCTGGTGGGGTCGCTGTCGTTCCTGGCGGCAGGAGGCCAGCACTGATGTGTGTCCCCCCACAGAACGGACTCATGTCCGGCCTCATGCAGATGCTGCTGCTGAAGGTGTCGGCCCACATTACCGAGCAGCTGGGCGTGGCCCCCGGCGGCGAGTTCAGGGAAGCCTTTAAGGAGGTGGGCATAGGGCGCGGCCTTGGGGGGCCCAGGGCTCCCCATGGCGCTGACCCCAGCCTCTGCTCCAGGCCAGCAGGGTGCCCTTCTGTAAGTTCCACCTGGGCGACCGGCCCATCCCGGTCACCTTCCAGAGAGCCATCGCAGCGCTGTCCTTCTGGCAGAAGGTCAAGCTGGCCTGGGGCCTGTGCTTCCTGTCAGATCCAGTCAGGTATGGCCTGGGCGGGCAGCCAGGGGCCCGAGGGGATGGGCCATGCACGGCCGGCCCCGCTGGCTCAGTGGCGTCCTCTGACCCTAGCAAGGATGACGTGGAACGCTGCAAGCAGAAGGACCTGCTGGAGCAGATGATGGCAGAGATGACTGGCGAGTTCCCAGACCTGCACCGCACCATCGTGGCAGAGCGTGACATCTACTTGACCCACACGCTGCGGCAGGCTGCCCGGCGCCTCGAGCTGCCACGCATCTCCGAGGGTGACCGCGCTGGCGGGGCTTCCCGCATGCCCGGCCCCGGCCCCCGGCCCCATGCTGACCGTCCTTCCATCCCCCACAGCTGAGCCCAGGAAGTGTGTTCCCTCTGTGGTGGTGGGTGTCGTGGGCATGGGCCATGTGCCCGGCATTGAGAAGAATTGGCGTGCAGATCTCAACATCCAGGAGATCATGAGGTGAGCGCCCAGGGTCCCGCCCTCTTGCTGCCTCGGAGGCTGGGCCGGGGTGGATTGGGAGGCGCCAAGCTGGCGGGGAGCCCCCGAGGGAGGTGCCAGTCCAGATCACCCCTCCCTCCCCAGCATCCCCCCGCCGTCCATCTCCGGCAGAGTGTCCCGGCTGGCCGTGAAGGCGGCCTTTTTCGGCTTGCTGGGTTACGGCCTGTTCTGGATGGGCCGCCGCACCATGAGCCTGGTCCTGTCGCTGCCCGCTGCCCAGCACTGCCTCCAGAGGGCCACCTCCGCCCGGCCCAGTCAGTAAGGGCCCGACCCGAGGTCCGTGCCACCCCCCATGGGGGTCCGGGCCAGGACAGCCCAAATAAAGGATGATTTGCCTGAGTGAGCTCAGAGTTCCTGGCGCCCCCTCCCCAGGCCCCGCAGGGCCCCGCCCAGCATCAGGACCCAGTGAGCCCCCGAGGGGGCTCGCGGCTGGGCCCGCCTCACTGTGCCTTGGGGGCTCTGGGCCTGGGCTGGCGCAAGTGGGAGATCCGCACACTGCAATGTGGCTTTTAAATGTCTGAATGTTCACTCAGGTAACTGTAAACTCAGCCGAAGCAGGTGCCAGGGCCAAGCTTTAACCTGGGGGACAGCCTCGTTCTTGGGCTTGCATTCCTGTGGGCGAGTATGCAGCCCAAAGGCCGCTTGAGGCCGGGGTGGCCCCGGGCGGCCGAGGCTACCTCTCCGGCCCAGCCTGTGCAGGCAGAAGGGGCTGGGCCTGCTTCCGGAGCCCCCATGGGGCCGCCCTGAGCCAGCACCCACTGGGCCCCTGATCAGGTGTGGCCTGTGTCAACCCTCAATCCCAGCAGGTGAATCCCATCCGAGCCGTGTCTGCGCCTCAGAAACCAATAAATTCTAGTTTTGGAAGCTCCTGTTTGGCGAAGTGTGTTCCATGGGCTTCCCTGGGGGGACGGCTGCGGGGTGCCAAGGGCCCTGGCCACATGCAGTACCCCTGCTCACACAGCGGGCTGTGACTGGGAAGTCCAGCTGAGGCCAGCAGCTGAGGCCTGCTGGGATGACCCAGTGATTGCAGGCTGCTGCTGGGGGCCCTTGCTGCTCTCACTGGCTGCCCACGCTGGACAAGGGACTCAGGACTGCTGAGCTGGCCCCAGGCCCAGGTCCTGTCACTACAGGCCCAGGCGGCATTGCTGTGATCCATAGACCTGGCTAGGCGATGGTGGGGGGACAAGGGAAAGGCCACTGGGCATGGCCAGGCCCGTGTCGCCCAATGGGCACTGGCTGCCCGGGCTCTGCTTCCCGTGCCGTTAAGGCCGAGAGACTGAGCAGCACAGAGACAAGCTCAGCAGAGGGAAGAGGGCTTAGTGGCTGCCCAGCTGCCAGGGCGAGGCGGATGGCCACCGGATGGCTGTGAGTCCCCCAGAGCTGCGGTGGAACTGGGAAGACGCGGCTACAGGGCAAGGTCAGCCGGAGCAGGAGACCTCAGCCCCTTTGCCAGGCGCCCCGTGCCAAGCCAGAGCCTCTGGGGCCGCCCTGGGCGCCACTAGGGTTCCTGCGCCCACGCCCTGGGGCTGCTCCGGGCCAAACCCGAGCACGCAGCATCCCGGGACCTCGGCCAGCCGGGGGCCACCGGCAGGTGACAGCGCCCCGGGACCTCGGCCAGCTGGGGGCCACCGGCAGGTGACAGCGCCCCGGGACCCCGCAGCCCGGCCGCCTCCCCGGGCGCACCCGGCATCCGCCGCTCCGGATGCGGACTGACGGACGAGCCAACCAATCACGGGCAAGTATGAGGGGGCGCGGCCACTACTGGGCGGGGCTTCCTGTCGGGGCATAAAAGCTTCCGGCCGGAGCGGGGCGGCGGATGGCGGCGCTGAGGGCCACCTGCGCACGGTCCCTCCGGGTCGGGGCCTGCCGCCCGCGGTCCGCAGCCTGCTGCTCGGCCGCCGCCATGGAGCCCGAGGCGCGCTGGCTGGCCGGGCTGCGCTTCGACAACCGCGCCCTGCGCGAGCTGCCGGTGGAGACGCCGCCGCCCGGGCCCGAGGACGCCGCGTCCACGCCGCGCGCCGTGCCCGGGGCCTGCTTCGCCCGCGTGCGGCCCGCGCCGCTGCTGCGGCCGCGCGTCGTGGCGCTGTCGGAGCCCGCGCTGGCGCTGCTGGGCCTGGGCGCGCCGCCCGCCGAGGCCGAGGCCGAGGCCGCGCGCTTCCTCAGCGGCAACGCGCTGCTGCCGGGCTCCGAGCCCGCCGCGCACTGCTACTGCGGCCACCAGTTCGGCCAGTTCGCCGGGCAGCTGGGCGACGGCGCCGCCATGTACCTGGGCGAGGTGTGCACCGCGGCCGGCGAGCGCTGGGAGCTGCAGCTCAAGGGCGCCGGGCCCACGCCCTTTTCCAGGTGGGCGCTGCGCCGGGGTGGGCGCCGGGCACTGCCTGCGCGCGGCCTGCCCAGCCGCCGGGCGCTGGGGCAGCGGGGATGGGGCGGGGTGCCCATTCGGACGCCCTCCCTGCCTGCCTCCCTGCTCGCTCACTTGCTTTGGAATAAACATTCCACAGGGTAAAGTCTTGAAAGGGGAAAGTCCTGCAATGGACTTGGCAATGGTTTAGCAATGATTTCTTGAAAGTGACCAGAACAGGCAAGTGAACAGTGGACAAGTGAACCAGGGGACAAGAGAGGTTTTTGTGGAAAGAGATGCCAGTGGCAATGAAAGCCACAGCTGGAATACACATCTGTGTGTCTTGCAAGGGATCAAAATGAAGAATCCAGAGGAGACTGGTGGAACAATGAGCAGTCCAACGATCAAAGGGGGACAGGATGGCAGTGGGCATTTCTACGGGAGGTGTGGGAGACCACGCTGCGGCCACGCTGGCAGTGACCACCCACGGGTAGTGTCACGGTGAGGGCAGGGTGACCGTGCACACAGGGAGTGTCACGGTGAGGATAAAGTGACCGTGCACACGGGGAGTGTCACGATGAGGATAAAGTGACCGTGCACACGGGGAGTGTCACGGTGAGGGCAGGGTGACTGTCCTGTTTGTGCTGCTTGGCCCTTTCCACTGCCGTTGAGCTCCTAGGTGAGGGAGATGGTTTGCTGGAGATCCACAGTGCAGGGCCACGGGGTCCCACCACACTGGCTATGGTCGCTGTCCCAACTCTCCATGGGTACTGGTCACGCTGGCTGTAGGTGGCAGCTCCTCTGGCTGTGGGTGCTGGTCTCACTGGCTGTGGGTGCTGTCCTGGTCCCCCCTGTGGCGACCTCAAGTCCTTGGGCTGCCCTCTAGCTTCAGGAGCAGGAAGCCAGCCGGTACTCCTACAGGCCATGCCATGGGCTCCTGGCCGTGAGGTGGGCTCCCAGGCTATGTCATGGGCTCCTGGGCTGTGCCATGGGCTCCTGGCTTCAAGAGCAGTAGCTGTTGCTACATGCATGCTGGGCTCAGCCCGACTGGCCGTGGCAACACTGTCACCCGTGTCCCTGCAGACAGGCTGACGGGCGCAAGGTGCTGCGATCAAGCATCCGTGAGTTCCTGTGCAGCGAGGCTATGTTCCACCTGGGCATCCCCACCACGCGGGCTGGGTCCTGCGTCACGTCTGAGTCCACTGTGGAGCGTGACATGTTCTACGACGGGAACCCCAAGCACGAGGCCTGTGCTGTCATCCTGCGTGTGGCCCCCACATTCATGAGGTAATGCCTGCCAGGCTGTGCCCAGAACCACACCTGCCCTGGCCTTGGGGACATGCCTTTCGCCTGGGAGGGGCCCTGCAGGCTGTGGAGCAGGGCAGTTCAGGGAGAGGGCCTTGGTTTTCTGGGTCGAGTCCTGTCTCGTGTGTTGAGCTGGGCCAACCCTGCAGGCAGCTCAGGGGAGGCACATGGGGCTGTCCTGCGGGGCCCAGCATGAACACATATGAAGTCGACAGGGAAATGACTTCAGGCCGTGTCCACACAAGCCCAGCGTGCTGGCTGAGGCCCCTGGGTTGGAACCCCTGTGGCGGGCTCCTGGCCTTCCTGCCCCATGCCCGGCTCCTCTCCAGGCCTGCTGACCTGAGCCAGGCTTGCAGGACGTGGCTGTGCCATGCTGTGCCACCCCCATAGGGCTCCAGGACTGCACAGGACCCTGGCCTTGCCCAGCCTCTGGGAGGGACTCAGGGCTGAGGGGCTCTGCTGACTGCCGGGCTGCGTCACGTCTGACGTGGCACACACATGGCTCTCCCCCCAGGTTCGGGTCCTTTGAGATTTTTAAGTGCGCAGACGAGCTCACGGGGCGTGCGGGCCCCAGTGTGGGGAGAAATGACCTCCGGGTGCAGATGCTCAACTACGTGATTGGCTCGTTTTACCCCGAGGTGCAGGCTGCCCACACCGACCCCGTGCACAGGAACGCGGCTTTCTTCCGGGAGGTGGGTGAGCCGGGCAGTACCGGCCCCCTGCCATGCTCCCGCCAGATTCTTGCCTCGCACAGCCCCAGAGCCGGCAGCTGCCATGCCTACTGTCCAGCCTGGCAGTGGGTTAGCCTTGCAGGGCCCAATGGCACTCTCATGGTTGGGGGGGGACCAGAGCCCCAGAACTGGCAGCTGCCATGCCTACCGTCCAGCCTGGCAGTGGGTTAGCCTTGCGGGACCCAGTGGGACCTTCACGGAGGAGGGCTGAGACGGGAACCTTCCTCCTGCTTATAGCACAACTGGGGGCCCAGACAGCCCACCTGTGCCCCTAGCCTGGACCAGGGGGCCGTGGTTAACATTGATGTGGGTGAGGGGGAGCAGCCAGGGTCCCTACGGATGCATCTACCATGGGCTCAACAGGCTGATGTATGGGGCTGTGTTATGATCTACGTCTCTGCCCTGTTGGGCCAGGCTCCTGGCTCTGGCCAGACAGCCCACCCATATTCCCAGCCACGGGGGACACAGCATTTGCTCCATTTCCCTGCCCCAGTCAGCAGGGCCAGGAGGGCTGTGCTACCTGTCCTTGGGGCACTGTGGCCATGCTGGGGCAAGGCAGACCCAGGCAGGTACCTAGTGTCTAGGGGTGCTGGCTGGTGGCCCCACATGGCTGTACCATTGCCAATCTATGGGCTCACGCACGGGGACCCTGGACACAGTGACCTGGTGTCAGCAGTGTGGCCACCTGTTGCTCCCCTTGAAGGCCCCTCGCTGCCCAAAATGTCAGGAATATCATCTCCAGATTTCTCTGGTTTCTGTGGGAGAATCTGTGAGCTTACGGAACAAAGGTGCAAGTGGACCTGGGCCTCAGGGACCAGCTGTCCTCTGTCCTGCAGGACACCCTGGAGCCGCCTCCTAGAGGCCTCAGCAGGAGGGCAGCTGGCTGCCGGGAGGGAGGGGGCTGTGCAGCCTGGGGGCAACGGCAGCTGTCCTGATGCAGGTGACCAGGCGCACGGCCCGGCTAGTGGCCGAGTGGCAGTGTGTCGGCTTCTGCCATGGCGTGCTCAACACGGATAACATGAGCATTGTGGGGCTGACCATCGACTATGGGCCCTTTGGCTTCCTGGACAGGTGAGTGGGGGCGGGAGCAAAGTAAAGTGCCCTGCCCCCTGGGGCATGGGGCTGCCTGCATGCCTTGGGCCCCTGGCCTCTCCTGGCCACCCCCCACCCGTGTGTCTCTCTCAGGGTGAAGGACCCTGCACTTAGGCCCTGGGAGGCGGTGGGGAATGGCCCAGGTGGGCAAGGATCCGAGCCTCCCCAAGGCACTGTCATGTGGGTCTCACCCACTGCCAGGCATGGGGCGTGGCAGGAAGCAGGGCCACCTGGGCTCCGTGGGTAGGTGGGCAGGGCCACCAAGCAGCTGTCCGGTGTTCAGCACTGCTGTTTCCTGGTGACAGGTACGACCCCGAACATGTGTGCAACGCCTCTGATACGGCCGGGTACTACGCCTACAGCAGGCAGCCCGAGGTATGCAAGTGGAACCTACAGAAGCTGGCCGAGGCACTTGAGCCCGAGTTGCCCCGCGAGCTGGGGCAGGCCGTCCTGGCCGAGGAGTTCGACACCGAGTTCCAGAAGCATTACCTGTACAAGATGCGCAGGAAGCTGGGGCTCGTGGGGGCTGAGCGGGAGGAGGACACAGCCCTGGTGGCCACGCTCCTGGAAACCATGCACCTGACTGGTGAGTGGGGTGGGCTGCGGCAGCCTGGGTCCCTGGTGGGGACCTTGGTCCACAGTAGCTATTGAACCCTGGGATATAGGACCATGTTGGGCTCCCCCACAGCCCAGCCCAGCTGTGTGGAAGGGCCCCAAGCGAGTCCCTTCTTAGTCTCCCTGCAAGGCACAGGTGTGTCTGGCTCCAAGTGGGCACTGCTGGCTCACTCAGGGGACCACAGTGTTGGACACCTGGCCTGCTGGGCTCAGCCCCGCCCTGACAGCTGGCAGACACCTATGCTGTCAGCTGCTGTTTTATGGGTGCCCACCTGGCCAGGGCTCACCTGTGTATATCAGCAGGAGGCTCAAGCAGAAGTGTGGGGACTGGAACACAGGCTCTCCAATTTAGGCCAGCCCAGGCACTGAACCAAGCACCACGCTCCCCCAAAGCTTGGTGCCATGTTCCAGCTGGGCACAAGGGCAGGCAGCTGCTGCTCACAGGCCCCAGGGCCCATGCTATCCTGACCATGGGTAGATCCGGCTGGGGTCTTGGGCTGTGGTGGCCATTGAGGGGGAGGGGAAGTCAGCTGAAGATCTGCACGTCCATTCTGCTGGCTGCTGTTCTGTTACTGACCATGGCCCGACAAGGTCTCTACCCTAACCACATGAGCAGAGGCCTGGCCTGCCTGTTTGCTCTGTGCTTGGAAGTGAGGAGACAGAGGGAGGGACAGGCCTTCCATCTGCTGGCTCACCTCCAGATGGCCACAGAGGCCGAGACTGGGCCATGTGCTTCCTCTGGGTCTCCCATGTGGATACAGGGGCCCAAGGGCACGGGCCATGCTGCACTGCCTCTACAGAGGCAGTATTAACAGAAGTAAAATGGTTGGACTTGAACCAACACCCTGTGGGATGCTTGTGCCACAATGTAGCCCCTTGCCATAGCTTTGCTTTATTTTTAACAGAACTTCCATCTGCTGGGTCATTACCCAGGTGATCCGACAGCTACGCGGGAGCCAAGAGCCTCCCTGGATCTCCCTCCTGGGCACGGGGAACCAGTACTTGGGATGTTCAGTTTGCCCAGGCGCATTAGCAGGGAACTGGGACTCAGACTGGGACAGAGCTGCGCCCTAGCAGCAGTCCCAGCTACATGGAGTCCTGGCAGGCCTCCGGGGGGGACAACAGCCGGTGTGTCTTGTGTCCCAGGGGCCGACTTCACCAACACCTTCCGGGAGCTGAGCTCCTGCCCCGTAGAGCCAGAGTCGCCGCGCCTGCCCGCATTCCTGGCCACGCTGACCGCACAGTGCGCCTCGCTGGAGGAACTGAAGCTGGCGTGCCGACCTCGCATGGACCCCCGGTGGGTGGGCTGGCACCTGGGCAGGTCCCAAGTGGGCGCTCCAGTGACTGAGCAAGGGTCCAGCGCTGTGAGGTGGAGAGCTTACCCTTGGGGTCTGGCCAGGCCGTGGGGGGCCTCCAAGCCAGTGCCAACTATTAGCTGACCCGCAGGCATCTCTCAGTGATGCTGACGTTGGCGCAGTCGAACCCCCAGCTGGTGGCACTGCTTGGTGGCCAGGCCAGTGTCACACGTGAGCTGGAGCGCATGGAGCAGCGGGCCCGGCTGGAGCAGCTAAGTCCAGCAGACCTGCAGGCCAGCAACAGCCGCCGCTGGGCCGACTGGCTGCATGTGTACAGGTGCGTCCTGGCGGGGGCGGGGGGCGTTTCAGGTGGTGGGGTGCACCACAGGAGTCCTTAACCACCCCTGGGGATGCAATTCCAGAGCCCGGCTGCAGCAGGACGCTGCAGGTGCAGGTGACACTGCCACCTGGCAGGCCGAGCGCCTGCGCACGATGCAGTGCAGCAACCCCCGCTACGTGCTGCGGAACTACATGGCGCAAAACGCCATCGAGGCTGCTGAGAAGGGCGACTTCTCCGAGGCAAGCACCCACCCCTGCCCCATGGGACTGGGGAGGGAGTGGGGTGCCCGGACACCCCTCACCCGCCCTCTCCTACAGGTGCGGCGTCTGCTGAAGCTGCTGGAGGCCCCCTACGGTGAGGGTGAAGCAGAGGAGTCAGCAGGCTCGGAGCACCGTGACAGTGCCAAGCCTCCGCTGTGGGCGGCCGAGCTGTGCGTGTCGTGTTCCTCATAGTGCCCTCCCCTGCCTGGCGCTGCTGTGCCCAGCCCCGAGTAAACCCGCAGCTCCAAGGCTGCCGTGCATGTGGTCACTGGGGTCCCTGGGGTCCCCCACCTCCGCCGTGGGCTTTAGGCGTCCTGGTAGTAGTTGTTGAAGTTGATGCGCAGCAGAAAGTCCTCCAGATGTGGCTGGTAGCCGCGGTTCACCAGCTTGGTCACCACTGGGGGAGGGAAGGCACTCAGACCTGCCCGCCCCGCCCCGCCCCGCCCCGCGCGCCGGAGGGGCCTCACCTTTGAAGAGAAAGTGGGAATAGTACTTGAAGGCGTGGTAGGACTGCTGCATGAGGGCAAAGTTGGGGTGCTCAGAGCCGCGGGGGCCGCCGGCCGGGCCCCAGGGCTGGGAGATGAGCTGGCTGCGGAACTTGCGCACGAGGCTGAAGACGCTGTGGATGATGTTCATCACCGGGGCAGCCTTCTCGGTCAGCAGACCCCTGCCGGGCACAGCAGTCAGCGCAGGTGCTGCCAGGGCCAGGGGCCAGCCCGGGCACCGCGCCTCACCTGAAGACAGCCTTGTGCAGGTACTCGGCGTGGGCCCGCTGGATCTCCTCCAGGTCGCCCACGGTGGCCAGCCTGGTCCTGAACTCGCACCAGGTCACGTGCAGGATCTGGTTGGCAATGTAGCCCTGGGTGACCTTCACGAAGTGCTGCATCTCATGCTTGAACAGCTGCAGCTGGCGGAACTGCACCGAGTGCGCCGTGTGGCTCACCAGGGCTGCGGGAGGGCAGAGGGTGAGCCCCGGGCCAGCGCAGGCCAGGGGACAGGCCCGAGGGACAGGCCCAGGCGGCCTCACCCGTGCGCTTGAGGTGGAAGCAGATGTCCTTGAGCGTCCACATCATGAGCTTCAGCTGCAGCAGGAAGGAGAAGATGGCGCCGTACCTGCTCAGGCAGCTGTCGGTGATGACGATGTTGAGGGGCCAGTCCACCTGCCGGGGAAGCCCAACTCAGCGCATCCAGGCACGGCCCCGCCCTCGCCGGGCACCCCAGGGCACTGCTGACCTTGTATCTGAGCTCCAGGCAGCTTAGCACGTCAGGGGCGTTCGGGGCGAATGCCTCGGGCAGGTGCTTGAGGGCAAAGGAGAGGTTGGCAGCGAGCGGCGAGTCCCCGTGCAGGCTGCACTGCAGGGCCTTGCTGAGCACGGTGTGGAGGAAGAGCGGGCTGAGCAGTTCTCCAGGACTCTGTCCGGCCCCTAGCTGAGACGGGGGAGGACATGCGTCCAGAGCGGCCCCCCCACAGCCACCTCTCCCCACAAGCCTGCCCACATGGCCATGCGTCACCTTCTCAAACAGCAGGTCACTGAGGGACTGGGCGAACTCGCCGTCCTCCATCAGCAGGAAATGCCGCAACGCCTCAAAATGAGCCTCGAGCTGCAGCTCCACAAAGAAGTAGTCAACCACGGCCTTGTTCACCAGGGAGATGCTGCGGGTGGAGGCAAGGACCACTCACTAGGCTCTGTCCACCAGGGAGATGCTGGGGGCGGGCTCAGGGCCAGGGGTGTATGTGGGGGACAAAGGGCCATGGCGGGGTGGTGGGAGGACCACTCACTGGGCGGCCAGTGGGGCCGAGAGGGAGCGGTTCATGAGCACGGGCAGTGTCAGGAGCTCGCTCAGCTGCACGGCGGCCTCATCTGTGGCTGACTGCACCTGGGGGTCCACCGGGAAGGCAAAGGCACGCGGACGCAGCTGACGGATCAAGTGCGCGGCAGGCGCCTCTGCTGTGGGGACAGGACAGCCACTGGCACCTTGGGAGACCATGGCCCGGCCCGCTCCCAACCCCCGCCAGCCAGGCCACTCACACATGGCCTCGTAGTTGTCAGGGTAGTGCTCTGGGTGGTACTGGCTGGCCAGGCCTGCCAGGTAGGCCTGCTCCCAGTCGCGACGCCGGACCTCTGCCTCTGCTTCTGCCTCCGCCAGGCCCGGGCTGCTCTGGGAAGCTGAGCTTTCCTGAGAAAGATAACCACAAAACACTGCATCCCAGGCCAGCTCCCTGCACCCGCCTCCCTCCCACGCAGGGTGGCCCAGCCTGACCTGTGAGTTCATGGGCAGAGGTGTGGAGGTTTCCTCAGTGCCCCCTCTCCTGGGACCTACACGAGCAAAAAGGACAGGAGAGCTACGAAGGGCAGGAAGGCCAGCACCACCTCCCCCGCCCCCTCCTGGGCCCTGCTCTCACCCTGACCTGGCGCCGCCTCGAGGTCACCATCTTGGGGGGCATCCAGCCCAGCTGTGGCACAACTGCCCTCCCCACTGCCTAGATCCAAGGGGCAGACAGCGGGCAGTGCCCCCTCACAGGAATGCAGCTCACCATCCAGGCTGAGGTCTGACTGCAACGCAGGGGTGCTGGGACTAGGTGTGCTGGCCTTGGTTTCTGGGGAGGGCCCCCCCAGCATCAGGTGCAACTGAGGGGGCTGCCCGTGAGCGCTCCATAGAAGCCGGGCAGGGGCCACGTCCGACACATCCTCCCCCAGTCTAATGCTGGCATCAGACACGTGCCCGTGGACGTTCCACCGAGGCTGGGAGGAGGCCACGTCCGACACATTCTCCCCCAGTCTAATGCTGGCATCAGACACGTGCCCGTGGACGTTCCACCGAGGCTGGGAGGGGGCCACGTCCGACACATTCTCCCCCAGTCTAATGCTGGCATCAGACACGTGCCCATGGACATTCCACCGAGGCCGGGCGGGGGCCACATCCGACACATTCTCCCCCAGTCTAATGCTGGCGTCAGACACGTGCCCGTGGACGTTCCACCGAGGCCGGGCAGGGGCCACGTCCGACACGTTCTCCCCAACCCTGATGCTGGCGTCAGACACGTGCCCGTGGACGTTCCACCGAGGCCGGGCAGGGGCCACGTCCGACACGTTCTCCCCAACCCTGATGCTGGCGTCAGACACGTGCCCGTGGACGTTCCACCGAGGCCGGGTGGGGGTCACGTCCAACACATTCTCCCCAACCCTGATGCTGGCGTCGGATCTTGTGGGGCAGGTTTGTATTCTGGCCGGGGCAGGGGTCTCCCCAGAGACTGGGGGCGGCATGGTGGAGCTGATGGTCTGCAGAGCTTCTTCCAGCAGAGGTGCCATGACGGTCTGGGAAGGCTGCTGCCCCTCAGAGCTGGAGGGCAGGAAGTCTCCCAGACTGAGGCCGGCCGAGGTTTCAGCCCCTACTTCCGGGGCCTGGATGGGGAACAGCAATGGCACACACTGGCCCAGACTGCGGCCGGCCGAGGAGGGTCCAGAGTCGCAGTCGGGGGTTGCTGGGTACTCACAGCCTGTCAATGTGACCTAAAACAGGTGCAGCATGCCAGCCTTGTCCTCCTAGCCAGGCCTGTCTTGAGGCTCAGCTACGTCCAAGAACAAGGGCCCTCCCAGCACCAGGTGACATGGCGGACCAGGTGCACCAGCCCAGCTCAGACCACCCAGGCCGTCCTAGGTCCCTTACCTGGGAGTGCAGTGGGTCCACCCCAAGTGGCGCCGGAGACGTGCATGTCCCAGACACCGTGTCCAGCAATGCCTGAGGTGAAATCCATTGGGGGAGGCAGCACTGCAAGCCCATCTTGCCACCCGCCGCCCACAGAGGACCAGGAGCCGGGGACACATCCGTGTTCAGACAGCTCGCTGCCCACATCAGCACAGCGGCTACCCACTGGCTTCTCCCAGACACCCAGCCCCGTTTCACCCCGGGGCTTCCAAGGGGCCAGCAGCCACCAGCAGCCATCACCCACATCCACGCTACCTGGATGTGTCTCTCGTCTTCCAGGAGGAAGCGAAGCCGCGCCTCCGCCAGCTGCTGCCTCTGGATTCGCCACAGCGCCTTCTGCTCACGGCGTGCAGCCTCGGCAGAGAGCCGGCCGTAACGGTCCTCCAGCGCCTGCCTGGAGCCACGGCACAAGATGCCTATCCCAACAGTCCCCTCACCTGGTACCTCAGCATGGCTGGGACCCAGGGATCCCTGGCCCAGGCCCAGCCCTATGTTCTCCTGCCAGCAGCTGGGCCAGACCACCACAGCAGACTAGGGGTGCTGGACAGGCAGGCACAAAGCCAAGACACATGACTACCAGGGCAAGCGTCTCCAGGGAACAAGGCCGCCCGCTCTGAGCAGGGTGAGATGCAGAGACAGCCACAAAGCCACAGCACCAGGGTGCCAGCTGCTTCCTTCACTCAGCAGCAGGTGCTACAGGCCCCCAAGCCTGGTCATTCCCAAAGCAGAGAGAAAACGGCCAGGTACAGTCTTTCCAGGCACCACAAACAAGACCTGGGGCTGGGCAGAAGTGACCAGCTCTCCTAGTTTGCAGGACAAGCTGGTGACATCATCAACACCCACCTCCCTGCTGGGGCAATCGAGAGCTAAATGGGCAAGTACAGCCACTACCTGCCACACTCGCCATCTTGTGGGCACCACCAGTTTCAGTCCCAGCTGCTCTACTTCCCCCCCCAGCTCCCTGCTTGTGGCCTGGGAAAGCAGCAGAGGATGGCCCAAGGCCTTGGGCCCTTGCATTCATGTGGGAGACCCGGAAGCTCCCAGCTTCTGATCAGCCCAGTTCTGGCTGTTGTGGCCATTTGGGGAGTGAACCAGCAGGGGATGGAATCTAACTCTGACTTTCAAACACATAAATAGATCTTTTTTAAAAACTACTATATTGACAAAAACCTCCGAAGTAGCCACTCAGCGCTGCTCCTGCCCACCTGGCCTTCCTCTCCCGCTCCTCCTCCAGGGCCCGCAGCCGCTTCTCCCTGTCGCGGAGCTCACGGGCGTAGCTGAAGTCATCGTCCAGCTCCTCCTGTCGGGCCGCCAGGCGCCTCTGCACAGCACACAGCCGCTGGGACCCCCACCTCCCGCTCCCTCAAACCCCAGGGCCTGGGACCCCTACCTCCTGCTCCTTCTCAAATTGCTCTTTCAGCCTCTGGAACTGCTCTCGCTTCTGGGCATCTAAGGCCTTCTGCTCCGACAGCTGCCGATCTGCACCAGGAGGGCAAGGGTTAGGGTTGTGTGGGGCCCTGTGGGGCTCCGCAGCGCC